ATATTTCTTAATGTTATACACAATACGTTTTATCTTTCAAAATTATAGACTGTCTTAAAACTTATTACTTTTAGTATTTTATCAAATGCATGCTCCAACCTTGATTTCTTCAGTTACCAGTTTTTATGGTTTATATCTAGATATCCCCCTAAAGCTTCATGTTATCATTGGCTGGGCTTTTGGAAATAGGGTGCTGTTAGGAGGTGAGGTCTGGTCAGAAGAAGCAGGTCTCCTTCCCTGGCTCCTCCCTTGATTCTCTGTGCTTCTTGTCTGCCATGTCCTTCTGCCATGCTGCCCTTCCTTGGTGCCAGATGACTATGGACTGAAACCTCTGCAAACTGTAAGCTAACCAAAACCTCTCCTTTACATTGTGGGTGTTTCGTATTCTGTCTCAGCAACATGAAAGTGATCAGTCAGGAAGCAGCTTGTGACCATTCTTATTCATACTGAGAAATTTAATATTCATTTACTTTTTTTTCTTCTTTGTACTTCCTAATATTTGCTCATTCATCATGAATTTACCCTAATTTTATATAGTTAATAGTGAAATGGTTTTGAAAAGTAATTTTGTTGGTGCTTTCAGGTTGGTACCTGTGTTTGTGTAATTGTTTGTCATATATAGTATGTATTTTGGTATGCACCTTTCCCATTCTTAAGTTTCTAATTTTGGCTCATTCTGAATCAGTCAGAGTGCTCTTTCAAATAGTATCCTCAGGATCAGCTAGAAAATGAAACTACATTTATCTCCAAAGTCCAGTCATAGTCCACTCTGGAAACTATTCTGTTTCATGCACATGAAAGCCAGAAACAATCTTCAGTGCTGGAGAAGTTGTCAAGTACTGTGTATCCTGTGATCAATGAAAGTAGGCTGGTGTCAATCTAGGCAGAAGGTGGATGTTGGCATCTATCTGAAAACCCACGTGAGTTGGCACTATCTCCTGACACACTGGAATGCACTGGGTCCTCACAACTCCATAGGCAGCCACAGGTGCTTGGTCCTGGGTCATCCTCACTGCCTGGGAAGCCATCCGACTGCCTTGCTTGTCTGTGGCTTGGCCCATCTTGAACATGGATGCTCTATTTACTTTTACTGATTCATTTCAAACCCTCAGTCCTCCCACACTTGCATAGAAATTTATAATGTGGTATAAAATTTTATTTATAGGCTTTTCTGTGCCTTAGAACCCAAGACCACATTTGTTTATCCTTACACCTGTTACACACCAAGTAGAACTCATAGCATATTCAGGATGCCTCCACCTCTGTTGCAGTTATATTTCACATGTAGTATATGTGTGCATGCATGGTTGATATACCTGATATACCTTCTGAATTCTGAGCTTTGCTGTCCACTGCCTCTTTTGAAGTTCTGTACAAAAGTACTCCTGACCTTTCCATCATAGCTCAAGGGCTGTCTTTTCTGTAGAAATTTTGCTGATGGTTAAGACCAGTGCTCACTTACTGGAGTAATTTGCAGTCACCCAGCTTTTGCATCACTGCTAGTCCTTATCATTACCTGCCTAATAGTACAATAAATTTGAGGCCCAGAAAGAGCAAATCTGAAATCATGGGGAGTAGCACATGTCATAATTAGGAGTCAGTTCAAATCATACCTAGTATAAAGCCTATAGAGCTCTGTTATCTTTGGGTCCACCCTAGGGACATAGAAGGCAGTTGTACGAGAATTTAGGAAGTTGGCTTGGCAGATGTTCATGACCATTTGAATATAGATATAAAAGGAAAAGGGAGCCTGGTATACTTTCTCATGTCTGGCTGAAGCAATGGTGAATCATGACACTTGAGATTGGGAAATTTTGTCCTCATGGAGGCGAAATAAATTTGTTTTGTTTTCATTTTGTTTGACCAGGAAGGGAAAGAAATGGATGTGTTATCTTCTGTTGTTCATATGTTCATTTAAAGGTGTTTGATCCATCTAACTTCAGATGTTCTGTAGACAGCATTGTGTATGAGTGTGAAGTCCACAAGGAGTGGACTGATCCTCGAGATTAAAGCATTGTCTTCACATGGTCACACTAGGCAGTTCACATCCATGGTGCATTATGAAAAATGGAAACGTTTAGAAAATTTTCAGATAAATGGCCTCTGTGTCCTTTCTGACTTAATATTTGTAGGAAAAGATCTTGAATACTTTTGATAAAACTTCTGATTAAAATGATGGTTTTTTTTTCCTCATGTGAGAATTTGCATGTGAATTATTTCAGGTAGATTTGTTCCCTGAGGAGAAGCATGTGAGAACTGAGCTCACCTGGCAGTGATAAGTAGTGAGGTTTAATTGTAACAAATTAGAGCTTAAATATAGGAGGATCCTGGGGCTTAGGGGTGGGTATCATAGTGCTTATTTTAGGAAAATGCACTTCAGATTTATTCAGAGTCCAAGTTAGCTCCTGAAGATATTTTGGTAGTTGTAGGATTAGGTTGTTTGGATAACAAGAACTATCATAAAGCATTCTTAGGTTGCAAAACTTACCTCATATTTTCTTACTTTAGCATAAAAGATTAATAAACGTTCCTAGTTGTACCATCCTTAAACACACTATTTATTCAAGATTATTCAAGTTTCTTATTACATAGTGATAAAAGTCATAATAGCCTCCCAGTTTAGTTAACCATCTAAAATACAAATAACTTACATTGTCCTGAGATAAGCCTATTGGTAACAGTTTCATAGTTGCTAAATCAGCAATATAGTGAACTTAAAATGTATCTATCATCTACTACCTTGTAATCTATTTTTCTAATCCTTAGCAAAACAACAGGCTTGGTATCTGTGTTTTTTGTGATGCTTTACAGTTAGGTAGAGATTTGGGTTTTAAAATTGTGTAAAGTAAGGCATTTCTAAAATATTCAGTGCAATGATGATAATTACTGTGCCAATTAGCATTTGAAATTTTACCAGGTAGATATTTTTAACATTAAAAACCATATTACTTCCTGAGCATTTGATCTGATGCATAATATGAATCATGGTTCATGTGAACTGAATATTCCCTGTGAAATATTATGGTCTTAGTCAGGGAAAGATACATTTTACTTTGCCAAAGATGATTTTCACTGGTACACTGTGAACTTGTGTTTTATGGTCATTCTTTTTACTATAACCCCTGAGGGTGCTCTCTCTCTCCTCTTTTCTACTAGCAGCTTTGTACAATCTTTGAAGACTTTGTGTATTCAACCGAAAATGCTCCAGTGGTAATTATTTATGATTTGATATTCCACAAAGTAATACATTCCTGTAACTCTTGAACAACAGAAATTATTTTATTAAACCATAAATTGCTCATGAAGAAAAAACTTGGAGATGCTTCTTTGGTATCCACTACCCTGAGCCCAGTGGTATCCACTACCCTGAGCCCAGTGGAAGCCCATTGGACATGGGCAAATACCCAGTTTATGGGTATCCACTACCCATACCCTCTTGCAGGCTGACATTTTTTAAAATAAAATGAATAAAATCCAAAAGAACACAACACATGGAGAAACTGTAATATTTTTCCAAAGTACAGCTCTTTGAGCCACAGAATCGGAGCTATGAAAAGCTAGGTGTTCCATCCCCTGCCATGCCTCTCTGCTCTGTGCTCACTCACTGGCTGCCTCATCTGCTTTTGTCCATCCCAGTTGGGTTTGTTTGTTTCATCCAAGCAACCTGTGGCTTTTGTTTTTCTGATTCATAGTGACTCCTTCAAAGCACTAATCAAAGCAGAGTCTACATAAAAATATTCTTTTTCCTTCTTCAAATCCCCTTTGTCTTAAACCCATACTCGGCAGTCTTGAGATTTCACAACCTTCGGCAGGGACATCTCTCATGTTTCTTGAACCTTTCTTGCATTGTGGGACTGTGCTCAAGGTACAAAAATTGACTTCTCACAGCTGAAAGAGAAGTTTCGTGTAGCGTAGATGTAATGTAGACACCAAGGCACAGAGATTTGGGTTGCATATATGTATAGTGGCTCTGGGTTGAAGATTTCTGGCATAACTCCAGGATGCCAGAAGGCCACTGGTCCTCACTAGAGCATCATATTGAATCTTTACTTTGTATTTATTATCTTTATATCGCAAACCTTTACTTTGTGTTAATTGTCTTTCCCTAATTTCTTTTCACTACTCTGATAGAATTATAAGGAGCCAAAAGATGATGAGTTACTGGCTGGAAAGATATATGTGTTAATTATTACTTAAAGATTTTCCTTCCAACTAGTATACAATTATTACTTACAGATTTTCCTTCCAAGTAGTATACATAGTTCATATGATTTTTAAAATGTGAACTTTATGGATAGATGAATCAGGTTACTGTTAAACATTCTTTAACTTACACATTTTCTTTACTTACTGATTCCTAAAGGTTGTTTTTCAAGTGTGTGTTTATTAATAGGTCAAACCACACAAATTACCATTTTGGTGGGTTAGAATTTGTTCATCCTTAGCAATAACACTCCATGATTTAGGTACATCCTATCTGTTATTTTCTTGATAGAGTTAATTAGAATTTAATGTATTTGATTGCCTACTTCCATGCAGAATTGTCCCAGGTATGGTGTACAATTATGTGTTTAAAATTGCAGTTTTAGTATGCAGCTTTAAAATACATAATATTTAAAATAACCAAAAACTGAGAGCATAGGAAGATATTCCTTTGTATTGGTCCTATCATATCTTATTCTTGTGTTTTACAATTTAGTACCAGGAACAGAGGAGGCATTCAGTTAATAATGGTGAAACAAGTGGATAAACATCTCTTGCACATATTTATTTGCAGTAGTCACTACTTGATTTACGTAAATATGTGTACTCTCTCCTGGGATATGAAAGGATTAGCTAATTGAAGTGCCCACAAATTCATTTATTTTAAAGTCTGAAGCTATTTTCTTCCCTGAAAATTAGAATACATGTAAATATGTTCACATGTAACCAGGAGCATGGATTGTTTATTGTTTTCTTATAGCTTTCTTATAGCTCACTATGATGGTTTTACTTGGCAGTTTGCGTGTAAACTTGGACATGGGCAAAGCAGCATATGGATGGATGATCATGAAAGATGAGAATATTCCTGGTACAGTTGTTCGGACCAGCACCATACCAGAGGAACTGGGGCGCCTGGTATACTTACTGACAGACAAAACAGGTACTGTTCACAGTCTGTGTTTGCTGTTGAATGTACCAGATAATATCAAATCAGAAATAATCCTGGTTGTGCATGGACTTGTTTGTAGATGTATATATTTGTGGGTATTAATAACAGAATGTTGAATTTATATTTAGAATTTTCCAGACTCTACCTTTGATATATTTATTCATATAAGTTAATCTTCCTCACTTAATAGGTACAGTATTCTCAGAGCTAGTGAAATGTTAAGTAAGTTCTTGGGCCTTTAAGTAACGTTGCTGTACTGTGAATTTTCTACATCTTACAGGATTTTTTTCTCAACTGCTTTTATATTATCTGTCTGGTTGCTTCTTAAGAGAAGCAAGTTATTTAGTATAGAATGTAAGAAAAAATGCATGTTATTTAGTATAGAATGATACTTGTGAGCTATAAGAACACAATTAAATATGTAAATTGGTATTTTAAGTAACAGTCTCCTTATGATTTCACTACAAACTGTTTGTACCACTTTATAGGTCTGTACCCAAAATTCTATTTATTCTTATTTCAGACTTTTTCTCTTTTCAGCACTCTTATCAGTCCATAGCTTACTAAATAAAAGACAAATAAATATAAGTTGTATGTGATAAAACCACATGTAAGGTTAATATTCCACAATTTATTGAATTTTGATTTAAATCCCTAGTAATTATTAATGAACTATAGGTAAAAATAAAATATGACATGATAAAATATGGCTCAGAATTCAACATTGAATTTAATGGTTAATATTAGAAAAATTCTACCTGTAGCAGAAGGATGTAGCAGAGAGGCATAGTGGATGAAAGCTGTTCACATCAGGGCAGCCAAAAAGTAGAGAGCAGTAAGGGAGAAACTGGGAAAGGTTCCAGGTCATGCCCCTGTGTGACCCCCATCTTCAAGCATATCCACCTCCTACAAGCAAGTCAGTTATATAACTCCCCCCACGATAGTTACCTTTGAGAAGCCCCACCTGTGAGCACCTGAGGCCTTTGGGGGACATTCTCAATCCAAACCGTAGCACCAAGATAAGGCGGAACCTATGTTGTTTTGAGTTGCATTTCCCTAATGACTAAAGATGCTGAACATTTTTTCATACACTATTGGTGCCCTTGATTGGTCAGTCCATCTGTCTGTCTGTGTATTTCTTTTCGGAAGTGTCTGCTCAGCTCATTTGCTGGGATGCTAGGTTTGTTTTTTTTTGTTATGTTTTGTTTTGTTTGAGTATTTTATATGTTCTAAATAATAATCCTCTATCAGAAGACTAGCAATCAAGAACTTTCTCCCATTCTGTAGGTTGGTATTTCTCTCTTTTGATTGTATCTTGCACTGGACAAAGCTTTTTAATTTAATGCAGTCACATTCCTTGGTTCTTGATACTATGTTCTGTGCTATTGTAGTCCTATTCAGGAAGTCTTTGCCAATGCCTGTGGCTTCAGGTGTTCCCCCTATGTTTTAGCAGTCTCAAAGTTTTTGTTGTTATATCTAAGTTTTTTATCCATTTTTATTTTATTTCAAACAGGGAAACAAATAGTCTTCGAGGATATTCAGTTTTCCCAATAGCATTTGTTAAAGCACTTTTCTCCATTGTATGTTTTTGGTCCCTTTGTCAAAATCATATGGCTGTAGGTGCATGTGGTTAATTCCCTGTCCTCTTGTATTCCACTAGCCTACATGTCTGTTTTTGTGCCAGTGCCATTTTGTTTTTATTACTATAATTTTGCAGTATACTTGAAATCCAGGATTGTGATATCTCCAGCTTTACTATTTTTGCTCAGAATTTCTTTGCCTATTCTGAGTCTTTCTTATCTCATATGAATTTTAGAGTTTTTTCTAGTTCTGTGAAGAATATTGTTAGTATTTTCATAGGGATTACATTAAAATCTATAGGCTCTTTTGGTAATACTGTCATTTTCATGATGTTAGTTCTTCTGATTTAAGAACAAAGGATGCCTTTTCATTTTCTATGGTCCTCTTCAAGTTCTTTCACAAGAATTTTGTAATTTTTAAGATAAAGGTCTTTATCTTCCTAATTAGGTTGATTTCAAGTATTTAAGTATTTTTTAAACTATTGTGAATGGAACTGTTTTCCTAACTTCTTTCTTGGCAGGGTCATTATTGGTGTATGTGTATGATATTGATTTTCATGCTTTGAGTTTGTATCCTGCCACTTTGCTGAATTTATCAGATCTAAAAGTTTTCTAGTGTTTTTTGGGTCTTCTATATAAGGAAGCATATCACCTGCAAAAAGGGGTAATTTTACTTTTTTCATTCTTATTTATATTCCTTTTCTTTCTTTTTTCTTGCCTGATTTCTCTGACTAAAGATTCAAGTAGTGTATTGAGTAGGAGTAGTAAAAGTGGGTACCTTTGTTTTTTCCTAAAATTAGAAAAAGTGATGTCTTTTATCAGTTTAAGCTTCTTCTAAATTTTTATTATGAAAAGATGCTGGATTTTGTCAAAGTTTTTTTCTGCATCTGTTAGAAATGACCATGTGATTTTAATCTTCAGTTCTATTTATGTGGGGTATTATCGGGGACCCCGTGAGTCTCCAAGCTCCTGCCTGGTGTTATGGCACAGGAGAGAGGGGTGGGGGGAGAGGGGAGAGGGAGAGAGAGAGAAGGGAGAGAGAGGAGAGAGAGAAAGAGCGAGAGAGCGAGAGAGAGAGAGAGAGAGAGAGAGAGAGAGAGAGAGAGAGAGAGAGGAGAGAGAGAGAGAGAGAGAGAAGAGAAAGAAAGAATGAATGGCAGGACAGCGAGGATCCAGGATTGATCTGTTGTTCACAAGAAACAAAAGGCCACATGGCAGCCAGAACCTCAGCATTTATTGATCAAGAAAAGGATTTGAGGAGGGGATTATTTGATGATTCAGAGGGTAGAGGTGATCTTATGCTAAGAAGGGTCTTTCTCTGGAGTGATTTTTAATCTTCGTGGTCTTAGGTTTATCTTAGTGGGTGAGAGAGGATGGCCCAACCCTGAAAAGATAATGGGAAATCTCAAAAGGATGATATAGATAATTCCAAGTCTCTGTTTATCCCTTGGGGAAGTATGCAAAATTAGCCGTTGGGAATTTGTGATCCCCAACAGGGTATTATTTTTCTTTCTCTCTCTTGCCTGATTGCTCTGGTTAAAGTTGAAGGTACAACACTGAATGCAAGTGGTGAGGATAGACACTTAGTTTTTGTTCTTATTATATAGAAAGTGCTTGCAGTTTTTCCCCATTCAGTATGATGCTGGTTAATATGACTTGTATCAATTTGAGGTAATAACCTTGTATACCTATTTTCTTCAGAGGTTGTTACAGTTTTTACCTACCTCTAACCCCAAAGCCTCACACACTCATATATGGAGCTTTTGGGAGGTTTTTGTATCATGGGTGTGTGGTACTCATCAGGGAATTAGTTCACCAGTGAGTTTATAGCTGTCTGTGATATTCAGAGGTGAAGCTTGGTTGGAGGAGGTGGGGTCACTGGGCACATGATCTGGAAGGGTATATGTCCTTCCCTTCTCCCTTGATCTCTCACTTCCTCCAGCCCTCTGCTACTTCTCTCTGCTATGCTGCCCTGCCTTAGAGCCAGCCAACTATAGACTGCATCGACTACAAAGTGAGCCAAAGCAAACGTGCCCTCCTATAACTTGTGAGTGTTGGCTACTTTGTCCCAACAACTAGAAAATAACTAGAACAGAGTTGTTTTGCAAGGGAGTTGTGCTCATTTGTCTATTTGCTTTTAGCGTGAAAATCATACTGAATTTTCTGAAAAGCTTTTTCTGTATGTATTGAGATGATCATATGATTTTTATACTTGATTCTATTTGTATGGTGTATTTTATTTATTAATTTGTATGTATGTGTTGGATCATCCTTGCAGCCCTGGTGTAAAACTGACTTGGTTATTGTGTATGAGCTGTTCAATGAGTTACTGAAATCTACAAGAATTTTACTGAGATTTTTGCATCTATGTCCATCAAGGATATTGGCCTAAAGTTTTCCTTTTTTGTTGAGTTCTTATTTGGTTTTAGTATCAGGGTAACGCTGGTCTCTTAGAAAGAGTTTGGAAGTATCCCTTCCCTTTCAATTATGTGGAAAAATTTGAGGAGCATTAATCATTGGTATTAGTTCTTCAGAGATCTGGTAAAAATCAGTGGCAAATCAGTTAGGTCCTGAGCTTTTCTTAGTTGGTAGAGCTTTTATTACTGCATCAATTTCAGTGGTCTTTATTGTTCTGTTTGGGTGTTTTATGTCTCCTTGTTTCAATTTTGTAAGTCATATGTATCTAGTAATTTATCTATTTCTTGAACATTCTCTGATCTATTGGGATGTATACTTTCAAAATAATTTCTAATCCTCTTGATTTTAGTGATGTCTGTTGTAATTTTACCTTTTTTATTCATGATTTTATTAATGTGACTCCTCTCTGTCTAAAGGTTTATCAATCTTGTTTGTCTTTTTAAAGAACCATTCTTTGATCCAGTGATCCATTTTATTTCTTTTTAGTCTTAATTTTTGATCTAATCTTTATTATTTTTCTTCTACTGATTTTGGGTTTGTATTGTTCTTGTGTTGTTAGAACCTGGAGGTGTATCATTAGGTAATTATTCAGAGTCACTCTTTTTTTAACTAGGCAGTCATATCTGTAAACTTTCCTCTTAGAATTGGTTTCATTTCCTATACATTCTGATATGTTTTCATTATTGTTTGTTTTTAGTAATTTTTAAAGTGTGTATTAATTGATCTGCATTGCTAGTATGCTTTCTTCCTGTGGTTTCTTTGCTGTGATTTCTGGTTTTATTCCATTGTGATCCAGTAGAACGTATGAGATTATTTCAGGTTTTATATATTTAGTGAGACTTGTTTTATGGCCTAAAATATGACCCATTTTGAAGAAAGTTCCATGGGCTGCTACTAGGAATGTGTTCTGCTCTTGTAAGATGAAGCACTAGATATTTACTAAATCCATTTCCTGTGTGATGTCATTTGACACTGATATTTCTTTTCCTTTTC